GTCCCAGCGCTGTCCCCTCCCAGCTTCTTGTGCACTCCCAGCCTACTCGCTGGTGGGGTGGGGTGAGAAGCAGAGAAGCCCTTGACTCTGTGTAAGCACTGCTCAGCAATAACGAAAACATCCCTGTGTTATCCACACTGTTTTCAGCACAAATCCAAAACATAGCCCCATACTAGCTACTGTGAAGAAAATTAACTCTACCCCAGCCAAAACCAGCACATTCTTAAAGAATAAAAGAAGCTGCTCCTTTCTTCCAGCCCCCGCGCAGCTCCCTTGCCAGCAGATGTGTGTTTTGCAGCTCTCTGTTCAGATAGCAGTGCGGGAAATCAGACGTGCTGGACCATAGCAAGGTTTTGGTCCTCCACAAACAGGAGCTGGGATTGGAGCAGCAGGATTTATTAATCCTTTTCAGATGATCTAAAAAGCAGTCTGGATGGCACTGGGATTACGGCATGGGTCTGGGAGTCCAGAAAGCTCTTTACACTGCCTGGCTCTGCCACCAACTTCTTACATGACCTCAGGCATATCACTTTGCTCCTTCCTCCCTTGATCTCCCCATCTGGCAAGGGGAGATAATGCCACCCTGCCTCGTACGGCTATTAGGAAGATAGGTTCGTCATTGTTTTTTGAGGTACTGAGATGCTACCGGAGATGGATAATGAGACAGACAGAAAGATAGCTAGATAAATCAATCTCTTCTCATTCAAGTGAAAACAGGCACTGCAGGTGCAGTGTTTGAGATTAATCATCAGAAAAATTAGTTCCTTCAGTATCTTTTCAGGAGAAAGAAACAGCCGTAGGGCCCAGTCCTGAAGAGAGTTATGCACATGAGTAACCTTAACTTGAATTCAAAGGGAGTGTGCAAGTAAAACTACTCATGTGAGCAAGTACACACTCCGGTTGCAACTTCTGAAAATGTTTAAATAAACGATGTGTCCCAACTGACACACATCCCTAAGTCACCGGGATGCTTTTAAATATTTCCCTCAGACATTTATTTGTGCCCTTTATTAGCCAGCTGCTTCATTAGCAGCTGGCTTTCTGAGAAGCAGTGGGTTCCAGCTTTCTTTGCAAATAAAATGAAACAAAAATAAACACAAGTATGTTGCTGATGGGCCTTACACATACTGTGATTATATACTATAATTGTATTATTCATTCAAACTAACATGTTACGCTTTCAACATCATATAATATATGTTTGCCCTAGGTGAAACCTTGTCAAATACATTTACCTTCTTTTTTTCTGTTTGTCATATCAGAAAAGGGAAACTTTAAAGGCAGCTAAATGTTATTTGAACTTCTCTACCACTATGTCCTATAGGAATCACTTTTTTTCCTCCAGCCTAGAGCATGAAGCTCTTTAATAGGCCAGACTGGAGTCAGAAACTGAATAGGGTTATATATTCAGTTGCCATAGTTGCCATATGGTGCCAACATTGAATGAAATAACATAAAAGTCCAGAAGGACTGGGAGTCAATATTGGGGCAGCCCGCATAACGCTGACTCTGGGACAAAACCCCCAGCCCCAGTGGACGATGGCAAAAAAAACCCCAACCCCGAATGGCCAAAAATCTGCTGCAAAGGCAAAGGCAAAGTCTCACCGTGGGGAAGCCAAAGCAACGCCGTGTTGGGATGTGTCTGCACCCAGGAGGAGCGGGAGAGCCAACCGAGGCAGTACGGGCAGTGGAGAGAGAAAAACTCATCCGAGCGTGAAGTGGCGAAGAGTCCGAACAATCGTCACGACAAGAGGAAACGCGTCTCAGCCCGGCTCAACCTCGCCTATCCCAGATGAACAATTAACCGGCCAGAGTCTGCTGGCATGAAAGGCAGCTCAAAGGAAACCGGGGGGCGAAGGCTCTACGGAGAAGAAGAGTGAGGAACTAAAAACAAGTGGATGTAAACAAATATAACAGGACTGTAAGGCATCCGACGTGGGCTTAGGGATGGGGAAGATGTTATAAACCTGCTGGGTTTCAATGCGTGTTGTGAAAAGAGTGGCTGGGAATGTGGTATTTTACAGATGCGAGAACAAAAGATTTTGGGTGGTAATAGTAGGTGATGGAGGAAAAAAAGGGGGGGGGAGAGAAAAAAAAAAAGATAAAATAGAAAGAGGAAAAAAAAGTAAAACCCCACTGGGTTGGTTCAGCATTCATAAAGAGTTACGAGATGCTTGCTAGGCTGAGCGCAATTCAGGGCATCCTTGTACCAATATTTCTTCCAGTTTTAGTTAACAGAGCCCTCCCATTCTAATTAAAATAGCTTCATGAGGACTGAGAGTTGATTCCAGAAACTCAAGCTATCAACATTTGCAGGTTTATATATATAGAAAAAAAAAAAATTAAGCTACCAGGAAGCTAGCACCCAGGAGTGCCAATATTATCAGGAAAATTAGAAGGGCTTTGAAATCGCTCCCAAGTGTCTTGAGGAACTTTGAGCTGCATCTGCCGCCTGCAGAAAGCAGGTCTAAGGGAGTAAAAGGCTGCAGAGATTTACCCCTGCACAGGATCTGGCCCTCGTTTCAGCTATATTCAGGTGAAATATGTAAAATGTGCCAAAACACTGGCCGTGGATCGATTGCGACCTTGTAGCTGTGTTTGCTGGAAAACAATTAAAAAATATCAGCCCTGAAGCTAACAAAAGGAGCAGCATCCCCTGGTCCTTCTGGAATCAGATTTAATGCCAGAAACAAGACAAGGGACAGCAAAAAGCCCGCCTGGATGTAAATCCATAGGCAGGTATTTTTATATATCGACGGGGGAGAAATCTGGTAGATCTAAAAGATTGGTACGTGCCATGCATACTGTATTTAACAAAAGTCTGCGGAGGAGGAGGAGGAATACTGTACAGCCACCAGCGTGAGGGGAAGCAGGGGGACTCCTGCAAGTAACCATAATTAAGCTGCAAGAGACTCCTGCTCCTCTCAAAATGAAGAACGGAGAGAACAAGAAGCGGCCAATGTGGCTTCATAAGGGACTGTGCAAAGATCTGAGGCTTTAATTTTTTTTAATTAAAAAAAAAAAAAGCTGTAGTCAAAATTAGAAAGCAAGAGGGGGCAGGGGAAGGAATCAAACAAGCATACTCAAATTCAGTTAGGGATTATAGGGGAAATAATAAGGATAAGGGGAAAAAAAGAATTTAAAGCTAACCAAAGAACTTAAAAAGGGCTTTAAAACCTATATCAAAGGGAAAAGACATTCTGGAGAGACAGTATGCCCATTAATTAATTAGAAGGGGATTAAATTAAGGGTGAATCAAAAATGGCTGGACTGCTGAACTTTTTTTTTTTTTAAATCTATCCTTAATAAGAATAAAAGAAGTTGAGGTGATTTTTGTAGGAAGGTCAGAAAACTTAGTAAAACATATAAGCAAGCAAAGGTAAAAACAGTGGAAAAATGTATAGGAAATTATCTGTTCAATTTTTTCCTGCTTTTTGGTCACAGGCTGTCTGAGAAGGTATTATAGGTTTCCAAGATGTCCGTTATTAAATATACTTGCACGGTGTTTTCTGAAAATTATTTGTGAAGTGTGCATCGATGCCGAGTTGTTCACTATGAGTATTTGTTCCTCAAACCTGAGGCTGTGTGTGTTCGTCTGAGTGGACAGACTGGTCAGGGTTTGCATTGCTCTCGCCTGACCGAGTGGGTGGAAGCCTTCCCATCAGGGGCCAGCTTGCCATCAGCCAGCCTTCTTCATCATCACAGTTTATTTTCCAAAAATATTCTTACACACAGAATTAAAACTGGCTTTTCACAAATAGTCCTACAACAAACCTGTTTACCCAAATATCTACAGGATTTGAACTGGAATTTCTTAAGGACAAGCAGAATAAATAAGGCAGCTCACTTTGATTCTACAAAATACGACCATATATAAACTACCTAACCTGGATTTCTCCACCGCTAAGGGAATTAGCTAACAAATTTCCTAAAGCACTGCCAATTTCTTTTCTTTTCTTAATGAAAAGCTGAAAAGCTGCAGGAAAATTAGGAAGAAAATGTTAGCGGTGCCAGAAGAAAGCTGATCCTGCTTGTTTTCTAGTAAAGGTAACAGATCTACTGTACCAATTCAAGTAAAGGAACAAATATTACAAGAGAAACATCAGTTAGGGCTTGTCTATGTATGGAAATTGGCCAAAATAAGCCATTCTGCCAAAAACAAAAAAGAAAAAGGAGACTAAGAAATAGCTGCTCTGGAGCACCTCCCCACGTGGGCAATATCCCCAGATAAATGAGGTTTTGGTTCCAAATAATCACTGTATCTTCTGAGTGGAGTTTTCCAGAACCAAATGCCTTTTACTTTAGAGCAGATTATCCAAAGAATGTATTTCAGGTGTTGGGACCAATTTTATTTCACTGTAGGTATTCCAGACATTTTTCTCCAGGTAGATAAATCCTTGCAGCCAGATCTGAAGGTGTTGGGAGCCAAAGGGCGTCTTTCCATTGGCTTCAGTGGGATCGGGCACTTAGAGGTTAACAGAGCAAACAAGTAGCATGGATTTACGAAAAGCAAATCTTGACCAGCAAACATGAGTTCCTTTTTATAGAAATAGAAAATTTGTGAATTAAGGTCTGATGCTCAAAATACGTGGGATTATCCATGTGAGCACAGTTCAGGACTGCTCAGTTGGGTCCTTGGATTTTAATAAAACAGCCACTGCTGTCTCCCGTCGTCTTACTCCCAACATTAATTCAGATTGACATGGTTTCGAACATCTCAGCAGAAAGAACTGAGGAATGGCAACAAGCTGACCTGGGGGAGCCTCTGGTGGCATTTCAACAGGGCAAGACCCTGACACAAGCCCCAGCCATGCAGATGAGGACACGCAGATGCACTTGGCAGCCCGTGATGGATTTGCTTCACCAGTGATATTCAGTGCATCCTTTCCTCTGCCCCATGTCACCCTGTCCCTCTCCGCTACAGCCCCACCACAAATACCTACTGCTCTTCAAATGTGAAGGATGCTCTCCTTATTACAACCAAACTAATGAGCATGCCCACATGCACTTCATCCCATACCTGAGCCCTATTGACTCCCAAAGGTTATAAGCATGTGCTTAAATGATTTGCTGAATGGGGAGCTTATTTACCAGTTGTTTTAATGATCTAAAAGAAGTGAATGGTTTGTTCATGTAATGTGCAAACTAAACTAAGCTGGGTAGATTTGGAAATCCCAAAGATGAGAGCAAAATAACGTAAAGGAATCTGAAAATACTGTAAAAATGAGTGAAGAATAAAATGAGATTCAACATAGAAAATAGAAGCTACTACATTTGTGGAAAAATAATCTAAACCCCAGATATTCAATCAGTGATAAAAACCCAAGAAGCAGTAATGCTGCAAGAGATCTAGAGATGATAGCGTGGAGTAAATTAGACATGAGTTTGCCTTGAGATATGGCAGCAAAAAAGGGCCAATTTGATTTGGGGCTGAAGACATCACATCACAGTGCAAGAAGGTAATAGTCCGTCTGCATATGGCTCTGGTGCGGTAGCGCCTGCAGTATTTAATTATGGGCACCACATTACCTGAAAGATAGTGACAGATTGAAAATTATTCAGAGGAGAGCAATAAAAATAGTTCAGAGGCTGGCAGGATTGAGTTATGAACAAAGGCAGAGTAATGCAAACGCAGAGCCTGCGCTGGCGAGGTGCTTATCCCCACAAGCAGGAGCGGGTGGTAGCAAAGCTGGATCTGTCTCACTGTTTCTCTCTTGTTTGAACACAAAATTGGTATGTTCATGGGCCCCAATGCCGGCAGCATCTGGTGAGGGAGCGGGTGTGCAGCAAAGTGACTGCAGGACCACTTGGCTGCAGGACCCGTTTGAGATGTGCATTGAGAAACAGGAGCAGAAAAGAGAAGAAATGAGAAAAATTCAAATATTGGAGCTGTAGTTTATGTTGCTGGCTCCTCTGAAGCCTCTGTTTTGGGGTGCTAAGTCAGGTGGCGATAGATACCCCAGATGCAGGGAAGGGAGATTGAAGCACAGGTCATGGCTTGGTGGACACCCCTCAAATGTAGCACCTGCTCTGCCTCCAGCCCGGGGAAGGAAGGAGGCAGCAGAGCCACGGGCTGAACACACAGCTTCGTGCAGCCAAACCTTTCTCCGTGTGGCTGATCAGCCTGTGAGCTGCTATGGACGGATGGGTGGAAGCTCCTGAGCAGCAGCAAGTTGAAGAAACAGACAGGAATGGGAATGGGACCATGCAAACAGGAGGACAGAGGGATGCTCAGGGAATAGCAAGAGAGTGGAGGAAAGGTTGAGGATAGAGGGATGCAAGTCCAGAGCATTTGCAGCGCCAATATCCAACCCAGCTGAAAATCTGGAAAATTGATGCTTTTGTGCCGATTCTGATTTTCTTTTTTCTTTTTCTTTTTTTTTTTTTTTGGCACGGTGCATGTGTGGTTGAGGTTCTCCCACCATGTTGAGGTGGGAGAAAGTGGAGAGAAGGTGCTTCACAGAAGCTGGAGGACAGGAAGAGGAGCCAAGCCAGGGAGCCCAGGTATATGGAAGAGGCTTGGGAGTTGATAGAAAGGTTTATGGAGGGGAAGAGGAGCCTCGTTTTGCTTTCTTTCTAAAAAAGGAATTTGTTGGTAAGTAAGTAAGCAAGTAGAAAAGGGCCACAATAAGAGCTCTTTGTTACAGTGAGGGACAACCTGGTACAGAAAATTTTGCAAATGTTGGCAACATCAAGGACTGACAAGAAAACGTAAGGGAGTGCAGTTCTGAAGAGAGGTTTTCTGCTACCAGGGGCAAATGTGGATGCTCCTTTTCAAAATCTTCTCAATATTCTA